CCGAATCCACACTTACTAAAGATTCGTCGTTCCGAATCCACACTTTGTGACCAGTGTAAGAGATTCGTAGATCCGAATCCATACTCTTAACAATAGTGTGACGTCATAGCAATGGTTTAAGTTGGGTGCTGGTTTTTAAATAGTGCCACGTTGCACTTTGTTAGATTCAGCAGGTAATAACAGACAGTTGGATTGTGTTACATTCTCTTGGATTCAGCAGGCAAGACACAGTTGGATTCTGTAGGATTGAGCATGTCTTTCTAAATATGTTGAGGTACAATGTATATACCCATAAACTTGGCATTTTGGATTGTGTCCTGTTTAGAATGAGCATCATTTGGCCTGTTGGATTTAGCAGGGTTGTCCTGGGGAACGACTAGGGGGTTAGGCCCAAAAAAAAGAAGTCTCCGGTTTCTGTATGCGCGCGCGTCACCGTAGCCATGCGCATCAGCAAAATGAAAAAGGTTTTTTTTTTCAATGCAAGATGATGTCTCAAAACGGCCAGACTCACTGGTTTGACTGGAATCCTGCTGCTGCCCAATTGTAACGTGTTTTAGATGGGGTTACGATCGAGTATAAGCTTTAGATGGCCTCTCTGGACTCCCATATATTTGCACTAAATTTAGTCGGGCACCATTTGCAGTCATCAGTCGACATTTGAAGAAAAAAAAAGGTTAAAAAAAAAAGCCGCGTCACCGCACCACTTTGGGGGCAAGTTCCGTACCAGAAACCGGAGACTTTTGGGGGGGGGGGCCTTAGGGTTTTAAACCTGATTTAACAGTTTTTCAAAAGTGCTAAATTAATCAAAACATCACAACAAACGCACAACTCGAACAATCATCAAAATACTGCAAACTATGATAATTTCTGTCCTGGCCCAATTAACAGGTATTTTTTTCTTGGATCTTCAAACAATGTGAGAAAAGAAGTGGAATGTACAGTGAGGGTGAGTTTGGGATTCCAAGACGTTACGTGTGAGTCATTACACCCCCCCCCCCCCCCCCAACTTCCTGCAAATGTGTGACACCAATGAAACACAGCTGGTGGTAGCCCCCCACAAGACTGACAGGGGCGGGGCGGATGGAGACTTTGCAGAATGTATAGGCCTATAGTGAGTGTCGTACCGCAATTGGGGGGGGGGGGGGATTGGACATGTTTGGCAAATGGGAAAAGAGGTTAGGATCAGTAGGGTCACAACAGTTGTTGGGGATCAAATCTTGGAGCCCGGCAAAGCCAAATATTTGGTACAAGACCAATTTTTGAGAAAGGGGCTAGTTGATGTGTCATGCCCAAGGGGAAGTTCTAAAGGATTAGGCAGATCTACATTAGTATGTACATGTGTATGTATTTTCATCTTTGCAGGTCTGGGTTGGTTTGGGACAATTTTTTTTCTGAGTGCCATGGAAAGATTTTTGCTCAGCTTATTTTGAAAATACGCAAAAAAAAATCTGCAGCTTAACGATACATGCACATGTATACGTACATGTGTACCCTATTGCATTTTGGCTGGTAACCTGGTGTTGCTTAGCAGAATAGATTCTGTATTGAGCAAGTTCCCTGGTGCTCATCAGCAGCTCATGCAATTTAACCTTGGTACATATACATGTACTTCCGATACATGGCATTTAAAAACAGGGTACCGGTACGTTACAGGTAGGTAGGGATTTTTTTTGGGGGGGGGGCAATTTTTTTTGTAAATGATCATATAGAGGTGTCTGTGTGTAGTCAAGGTTAAAATGTAGTGATTCGCTCTTTTCACGATCCGCCATGGATCTGGCAACTTTACATAATGAAAATAGCCGGTCAATGATCTGAACCCCAACCACGGGAATCACTGAACCGGCTATATTTATTGTGTAAAAGATTCCAGATCAAGGGTCTCTGCATGCCCATGGCGGAAGTGTGAAAAGAGCAAATTGATGGTTTTTCGGGTTTTTTCTCATTTTTCCTCAAAATAAATTTGAGAAGTTGCTGTCGAAATAGGGTAGGTACCGTTGGGTAACCGGAAGCAGAACTATTATTTTATTTTGGCTTATACACAATTCCTCTTTTTCTTGAATGACAGCCTAAGGCTCAACAATTTCTCAGGATGTTTCATACCAGTACAACACATGTATTAGTTTCTTACAAATCAAACTGGTGGCTTCAATACTCATCATATTTTGGCAGTTTTGTTTTTGTGAGTTTGCAAATGATCCTATATTTTAACTGAGTTACAAAAAATGTGGATAAACTTTGACAATAATGAACTGCTCATGATGTGGAATTTTCTGCTGGTGAATATACATTTGTCTTCAAGTAAACTTGAATCCTCAATCTGATTGGTCGATCCATGGCAACAAGCCGGGCTGCCTATAACCATGTAGCACGGCCACGGTCCATACCGCACTCCGCGTATTGCGGTATTCTATGCGCGCGCCCCCATTCCGTACAACACGCACGTGTAATGGGATAACCGCTGAAAAAGTTCGTGTTCAGCGAGCGTTGTTCCACCACACTACTGTGCATCAAGTTTACTTGAAGATAAATTCGTTATCAAAACTCGCGCTCGTGGAACACGGAAAATATAGGCCTAGTGCGTCTGTGTCCCACATATACGAAACCACAAGGCCGAATATGTGGGACACAGACGCACTATGTACATTACTCGTGTCCAATCGTACTCGCGGGATAACTAATAGTACAATCTGCAGAATTCACCTTGCCCACTGGCGCATGGATGAAAACGAGCAAATTACCGTACGCACGTTAGTGGGTACGTACAGTGTACTTATCAGGAATAACATGATCTTCCGGACCCGTACATGTACGAATAAAGGCATACACTGTGCATTTGGGGTTTTGTTTGTTTGTTTGTTGGTTTTTTTGGGGTTTTTGTGATGTTGCTGATATACTTCTTTTTCCGTATTAATCGAGTAATGGCATAGTGTTCATTCCATTAACTAGCTAATGGCATTCTCTGTAGCTTCTCAGCGGTACACGACCCAATTACCAGAAATTCTGGATGCATTTTGTAATGCCAAGCGAAGCGAAGCCATTATATAAAGGTCCCTGGTTATGTATTTTTTTTTTCATGCCTATCGGTTTGCCCTGTTTTTTCAAGGGCCATGGGTGTCCTCAAAAATGTCTTTTGAGGTTTCCTTGGATAGACTTTGTGACTTGGGGTTAACTTGACAATATTCTTCAACTGAATTCCCTTTTTTTCTTTTAAGTACCTAGGAAAAGTGCACAGCTAATCCAACGGGGAAGAATTACTTACTTCCAACAGAGATGGATATTTTTGCTAAAAATTGGAAACGGGTGTTGTCATGCACTGGAGATGGTGAATATACATGTACCGTACATGTACATGTTTATGAACATTTTTTTGGGGGGGGGGGGGGGCGGGGGAATGTTCACACTTCAAGTTGCAACAGCCCTGGAAACTTTTGAAAACTCCACTGATCCAGTCAAATAAAGGGAAAATACAACATTTGCAAACATCGAAAAATAAAACTACCAAGTTGTACGAAATACTTACTAGGATGTGGGTGGAAAGACCTAACTATATTTCAACTACTGCTTTAAATGTACGCTTTTTTCAGTCCAAATTTTGTTTTGCTATTGGTTCCATGTTCATGAACGGGTGTAGGCCAGCAAGACTGGTTCCCTTACCTTACAATATTATTTTCCGGCATTTTTTTTATCCATTTCATCTAAGTGGAGTCAGGGAACCAGACTACTTGATTTTTTCTTGGTTTTTTCGGTTTTTCAAGCATTTTCGAACACAAAACTTCAAACATGTCAGTGCAACAATATTTGATCTAATATACGGTATACTAACCCCTCAAATAGTTCATTTCTGCAAATTACAGCAAAAGCCAATGACGTACATTCCCTTTAATTAAGTTACATGTACACAGTCTCAATGTTGTCATACATGAATGTATCATTGTACCATCTGCACATGTGTAACGTTTCAGCAAAGTAATACATAATAATAAATACATGTAGTAATAAAAAAATAATATTTGCAAATTGTGCATGTACAGTACACCCACTGGCCAATCTCAACAATCTCAAGTTGCACATTAACAAAAAACATGACAGCAAAGTCTAGGAAATGAAAAAGAAAAA